AAATTCATGTTCAAATTTGGAGACAATGACCCTGGAAAGCTAAATAGACCTAGTGGATGCATTTATCATAAAAATAAGTTCATTGTATTTGACAAAGTAAACAGTTGTTTGAATGTGTTTGACAGTTCAGGGAAGTTCTTGTACAAGATTGGAGAAGAAGGCAAAGCTGAGGGACAATTTTTTTAGTCCATGGGGAAGTTGTGCGTTGAGAAATTTGGTGACCATCTGAGTCTTTTGGTGTGTGACAGAGACAGTGGTCGCCTTCAACAGTTTACAATGGATGTTCGTTTTGCTGGAAAAACTGTCACTGAGCTACAAAGAGCAAACTCAATTGTTACAATGACAGATGGTTCCATTTTGGTATGTGATAAGAAGCAATTTAAAATATATATCCTGAAATAAACTGTCAGAACTTTCTTGGAATGGAGCAAAAATGCAGTAATGTTAACCAATTTAACACTCACAGTGAGCTTATCTCAGTCATCATTGTACACGTGTTTTTCAACATTTAATCACGGCAATTAATCTCATCTTACTTTTCTCAGAGGTTAATGATTTCCGTAACCAAGTATTTTGGCAACAGAGACTATTTGTACAACACTTTCAGACAACTCCCCTGACAGGGGACTTGTGATGTGCACGTGATCAAAATCATCTTTCCCTAGCCGTTCCAAAACAGCGGTGAAATGTCTGCGCATGTGGCGTGCCTTCAGGTTGTCAGAACCGAAGGGTCTCATAAAAGTTACAAACAACCACAAAAGCAAGTAAGTCACGGTGTTTTAGAAGTGTATAACTTTGGTGGTAAAGCTCAAAATAGAATGGTAAATGGACAAGATACCTGTACTTAAATAAGCTTTGTGTTAAAATAGTCTCGAATTTTCATTTTCATTACTTTTGTTTCTTTTTTATAGATTGCTATTATTTGTCGCCTATTTTATGAGACGATTGTTGTTTCTTATGTTTTCGTCAGAAATTTTTCGCGGGAAATTAGCACACAGGCGTTAAAAGTTGATCCCCTCGCGCGTTCCTTATGTCTGAATGCTAGGTTCCCTGGCTCAGAATCTAGTTGAGAACTCTTTTCATGCCTTGTTTCTTAGGTCTGTGGAATATATTTTGAGCCTAATGAATTGAAATATACGATACATTCATCGAATTAATGATTTGAGATTATTTCTGTCATTGAAATAAGGAGCTCTCAAATGAAGACTTGTTAATTCGGCTGCATAAAACTCAAATACTAGACATATTAGAATTATAGAAGCATGGATGTAGCGATTTTAAATTGATGAGCGAAGTAGACAGGTAACAGCGAAGAATGACTCATATCTTAACGATGAAGAAAAATTATCATCACGGGTTTATTACGAAACAACTTAACGGCCTGCTCGCAGTTGGCTTGTTAGCTCAATTGGTAGAGCGCTGCACTAGTATCGCAGAGGTCAGTAGTTCGAATGCCGTACAGGCCTGATTTTTTTTTTTCCTCAGGTCTGATTTTCGCTATTACATAAATGGCGCTCTCTACTGCGAAGATCGTGCATCATACGTATCTAATACCGCAGTTCAAAATATATGAACTTCATATATTCATTGTATCTGAAGAAAAATTAGTTGCAAATTCATAGTAATAATAAATTTTTAAACAAAAATTAGTGGTATGTATGACGAACTT